GATTACTTGTCGTGAAATCGATGACAATGTTCTCAGCATGACATCCACATCCTCATTCCATCACAACCCCCTCCACCCCAATTTTAATCACACGACTAATCGATGACAATGTTATGAAACCGATGACAATGCTATGAAACCGAAGATAATGTGGTGAAACCGATGACAATGCTATGAAACCGAAGATTACTTGTCGTGAAAACGATGACAAAGTTCTCATCCCACCCCAACCCAACCCCCCCACCTTTCACGTAGCATCAACTTCAAAAATCGCAGTAGTCACACGTTCGGTTTTACACCCGTAGGCATAAACATGAACGGTCAACCTTTTTTGTCCAGGCAAAAGGCTCGGGGCAACTGGCTGATGGGATTGCTCGACAGATCCGCTCATTGATCAGGTTTTGTCGCCGCCCTAAATTGAAATCATCCATTTGACCCGTTCCTTAATATAGATGATACGCTGAATGGGGCATGTTAGTGGTATACACCTGTTTACTCCAAACCATGGTGACGATTAGTGAGATCATTTGGGCGCGTGAGGAACAGTGTGCTTTAACATGTGATCAGTGACACAGGATTATTGTAATGTGACACATGTGACACAGGATCATCTGTGACACATGTGATCAGTGCTTTAATCACTTACATGTGATTATTGTAAGTGACACAGGTCACGAAAAGGTCGCCCGGGCTGCCCGAGGGAGACCCCTTGCTGTATACAGCACCCGTGGACGTCCGGGCCCCCCTGACTCCAAACGACGGGTTCTTTTCCAGGATCCCCAGGAGTTGGGTGGTTTTCATGGACACCCCGAATCAATCACAGCTGTTTGGGGCTATCAATATGACACGTCTCCTTACGGAGGGTCGGTGGTTGAAGTTTCACCCAGCACCCAGCTGGTGATTTTTTGATGAGAACCAGGTGGTGTTCGACCCCCCTCCCCGGGCGCTGTTCAGTCCCAGTCGGGTCACCGAGTGACGGAGGTCCCGAGGCCGTTCGGAGCCCACAATGGGGCGGGTTGAGAGCCGCCAGGCACTGCCACTTGTGCCCCAAAGGTGAGATCACGAGGCGTAAACGCCACTCGGTGACGGTGGGCGCTGGGTGGGGATGTGTTGGGTGAATCACTGGGTGGGGATGGTGGTTCATATACTTGGGTCTTCATAACTATGCCATGCTTGTTTTTCTTTGTGTTCAATCAAAACTGCTTGTTCAAGCAAACGCCAAACATGTTGTCCTGAAACACGTTTTGCATTGACATGTGTTCTATGGTAAGTCAAGGTTTTGAAACGACAACTTTCCCCGACCAAACGGCGACGTTTGCCGACCGCTAATTTGGCAACATCTGTTTAAAAAAAATCAAAACGACACTTTTGAAATGAAACGGCGTTTTTGACGGCAAACGATTGAAATTTGTGTTGTTTCGCCAAACGACAGGGAAAAAATTAAAACACCCGTGGAAGGTCCAGGTATGTTTATATGAATTCATATAGATGTCGAATGATGTCGAAAGGTACTCGAAAAGAAACAAATACAAAGGAAAAACGCATCAATGTTGGAACCTTCCTGCAAATGTAGGCCTCAGAATAATTATGGAAACCTGAACCCTCCGTGGTAGCAGAAAAAAGTGACAGAAACAACAACTGCTCATTAAAAAACGCGTTCATGCCTTGAAAAAGCGTACCATTCCACCTTATGTGGTCTTCAAGTCCATTCCCCTGCCACATGCTGGCACCCATTCCATGCACACACAACACACGCTCACACACTACGAAGCGGCAGAGAGCAACCCCTTTCTTTGATCTTCAGTATCAACACAACAGATTAAACATATTAACAAAAAACACCGTCCGCCACTTTTTAAAATTGCGCCCGGGTAGCGGGAATATGCGCCCGGGTTGCGGGAATATGCGCCCAATTTGCGGGCACTTTAAAAAAAAGAATTGTAAAGCACGCCCAGAAGGTTAGAACCAAGCCCATGGTTTCATTTGCACATACTAGGAGAGGTCACAGAGGTCATATAGGATTTCCACCCGGTCCATAGGGCCCCCAAAGGCCCACAAGGGTTGATAAGGACACTGGTCAGGAACCAGTAGGCTTTAGAATTGTCAACACCAAAAAGCGCTCATATGTCCTGAAAAGTGTACATATACCCTCAATTAACGCTCAAACTTCCAATAAGTGCTCCAAACCGTGGTTCGCCAGAAATAAGTGTTACAAAGGATGCTTCAGGAAGTCAAGGCCAAAATCACGCAGATGTAAACTTCCAGTATGAAAATACACGCCAGAAGAAATCAAATTACATTGCCTGGTAAATGCATGATGACGTGCCACAACGACTAGGCCCTAGACTATGCCAGAAAGCATGTCAGATTAGATGCCAGAAGATGATATGTTGGAACACATGTTAAAAGCAAGACTCCATGCCAGAGCATATGTCAGAATACATTCCATAACAAATGACAGGTTACATTGTCGGAGCACATCTTAGAGCATACACCAGGACCAATTTCAGAACATATGCCAGACTTTATGCCTGTTAGTCATGCCAGTATGCTGACAATGTATGGCAGCATGGTGTGACAGCATGCGCATCCCATGGCCACCAAAACGGGGAGTCACAGCCAGGAAACAGAATACCACGACTGGCAAGAACATGTGAAAATTCATATGTTCGTAGCGCTTCGAAAGTACCACAAAAAGGACCAGGTTGAAAAACTAGGTGTTTCCATGTTGTTCCCTTTTTTGGGGCGCTGGTTACTTTTATTTTGAAGCGCATCATGTCATGAGTATACTCATGTATCCGCTTTGGGCTTATAATGCTTGGAAGATTGGTGAAGATGCCTGGCCCGATGCACACTTGCAAGAGCGCATGTTCTACTTGAGGCGTAGCAAGCTAATTCTGTTGCCAGAATAATATAAAGACCCGAGCTTATTTAATTGATCAGACACAATGAGTGTGGGGAAACAAATGCAGCAGAACTTCCTGGAATTGTAGCGGAATTTCCTGGAGAGAAAATTGGACCAGGAATGAGTAAACCCAGTTTCACAGCCTGAGTGGGACCGTCTTCGAAACCAAACAACATGTAAGCCAGGGAGATCAGCTTATCCGCAACCCTGCTACTTGTACCTTCAACTGTGAAGTAAATAAAGACTTCATTGGAATCATTTTGAGGTTTCAAGGCGATAGTCAAGATACATTTGCAAAAACAAACTGAAGTGGAAGCATGGCAGTGATTGACTGCAACATGTCTTTCGCGATCTTCCAATTCTCACTAGACTATGACTCTATGACAGCTTTGTTCATTTTTGTTAAGGACTTTGTTTCCATGTTTGTTACCTTTTTATCGTTTGAAATCAACACGTTGCTTTTTTATCTTTGCGACATGGAGGTTCTAGGTGCCATCATATTTTGTGCTACACCTCTCGATTACAGCGATTGGTGTCATCGTATCTGGCACAGAGAACAGGTGCGGAGGCATCCATCCGAAAAGGACAAAAGGAACGGTGCAAGGGATTTTTTTTCGCAGATGCAACTGTACAAACCACAATGACCAGTTCATATAGATTGATCTATAGACATGATACATCCTATTATGAAGAAACAAACCCTTCTCTTTCCACGATCGGTGCCAAGTGCCCCGAGCTCAGATCGGTTTTCCGACCATCAGGTGCCAGACGAAAAAAGAACTCACCCCAGACGCTCCGTTCAAGGAGCGTCCCTGGATCTTCAAAGTGACCGTACTTGATAACCTGGTTGGTTCGGTCACTTAGGAACCTTCAAAAGGTCACGAACTGAAGAAGCTGGTCTAGGATATTCTTTTTGGGGGTTTCTGCAGTGTCCGTGGACCGCTGGTCTCGCGCCCTTTGGTGTGGACAGTGGTGGATTTTCAGGAGTGGACCTAGGCCCGGGCTGCCCAAGCTTCGGCCCGACCTGTGCACCACGTGTGGTGCACCACACGTGGTGACAGGAAGTTCGGAGGGTCCGCAAGATCCGATCCGGCACTGTGTAAAGGAATGTGATAAGTAATCACACGGTATGAAACGAACATAGGATTAGCCATTGGGTGGTATACATTCTTTCTGCAGGATGGAGGCCATTGCTATTAGGTTGGAGTCCATTGCTATTAGCTTGGAGGCCATTCCTTCTAGGTTTATTATGGGTTTATATCCTTGAGCTCTCCATGGCAGGGGTCGGACCCGACACCTTCGCAGGGGTTTGGACCCGAACCAAACCCTATGTGTTTGAGGGCCTGGATTCTTACTGTAGGTCAATAATGTCCAATAATCCAGTCCCCAGTTTGAGGTCACCTAGTCCATAAAGAGGTCACTTACAGACTCCAAAGGGGTCACTTTGAAGGCCCTGGTAATAGTTAATTGTGTGTTTGTTTCTGTCCTCACTTTGTCCGGCCGCTCAGGTGAGGCCCGGCGCAACAGCCGCCAGCAGCGGCATCTCATCGTGCCAGCGATCGCGACGCCCGAGAACGCCGGTCGGGAGACCCTCCCCGGTTCTCGGGGTGCCGAGAATGGATGCTCAGTGCTCGGGTGGTGTCCGATGAGAGGCTGAGAGGTATCGGATTTCAAGCCAACCAGATCAGATCTACAGAGACAGCAATACACGGTGGAAGAATGTAGAAGATCTAAATTATACCGGCCAGGACCCTCCGTTTGGGGTGTCTATTTATATAAGCCTTAACCAGCCGTTATATAAGGGGTGTCCATGAAAACCACCCAACTCCTGAAGGCCCTGGTATATCAGATAGATCTCTTTCTAGGGCTCCGATGCTCCAAGTGTTGATCATCCAAACCTCTCCCAATGATGCATGGGATGTTTTGTTAGTTCAGAACTGCCGAGCCCAGGCGCTAAACATCACATTGGTGGAGTTCTTGCCATGTTCTTCCTTTCCATCCCGTTTGGGCTCCGGTCATACCTTCTAAGAAGGTGGGACTGGGGTGGGGTTTAGAGGCTCCAAATACCTTCTGAGGAGGTACGACTGGAGCCCTAGGGCATCTCTTCCCTTCTCAAATCCGGACCGCTTGGCCGGCCCGTCCGGAATCCGCGGTGCAACGCGGCGTCAACCCGCCCGCGCGGGTCTTCCAGTCCGGCCGTCCTGCGGCGAGGTGAGGCGGTCGAGCACCTTTCGGAGGGGCCGAACTTCGGCTCCCGAACCCCGAGCTCGACGCCCAGTCCCACCTGTTCGCTTCGTGACGTCAGCGAAGGCCGGAGCCGAGCGACCGAGCCGGCTCCACGGTGGAGTGGAGCACTCCGCAGGGCGGTCGACTGTGAGTCGATGGAGGGGTCGGAGGGAAAACCACGGCGCGATCGGGCGATCCATGGGCTCGAGACAGCGCGTGTTGAGAGCGCCGGAAAGAGGGGAAATGGATGATGTCCGTTTCGACGATTTCTCGTTTTACGCTGCGGAGCGAGAGGCTTCGCCGTTGGAGCAAACAATCCCTGCAAACTTCTCATAGTCACTAAAAAAGTGACTCACCAGTCACCAGCAGAGGTGGGTCAGAACCCGAGTTCGACTATCCTATCGGTACTGTTGGTGACGGGTCCTAGTTCAGGTCGCTTAACCTCTGGCAACCCAGACACTCCACGCACCTTTTGGGCGTCCAGCACCGCTCCGTCCCCCTCGGGCGACGCGTGTGGTGAGGCCCTTCTCCGGGCGGAGAGGGGGTTACTCCCCGGGTCTTCTTCCTCTTGGTGCCGGTGGCTGTACCTTGGTGGGACCAGACCCGGGCCGAGTGCGGGAGAAGAGAGTTCTACGTAGGTTGCTTGGAGGGATATACGAGTGCTGAGTAGAGTGAGAGTCGAAGTTGAGTTCCAATTGTGAAGCACATGTCAGTGGATAACCCTCGCTATTTTCCAGGAAAACTGAGGGAGTCTCTATTGAAGTCCAGTACTAAAATGGTGCGGGCCCAACCATGTGGCTGCGGCTGGGATCACACACCCATAATCCATACCTCGATCCATGGGGTATGGATCAGGAGGAGGGTGTGTGGTTGCAGGGGTCCTTCACTCAACATAGGGCCCCAGTCCCAGAGGTGATCCCATCGATGGGGCAAGGATTCTGGGTGGCCTTGCATGGGTTCCGACATTGTCAGTATATACGTCCTGTTATATTCTAGATGTTCAAAGTTCTGAGCCTTTAAGGAACAATATTGACAGCAGTGAACCTACCTTAGCACCACTTGAGTTGTATGATATTTTGGCTATGTTTTGGTTTGTTGGACATTGCGTGCAAATTTCACGCTGAAGCGGCAGGGTGGCAACTTTTCGCAAAGCAAAATAACTTCAGCACCAGGACATTCTTTTTCTTCCTCTAAAAGCCGCTCCACGCCTCATGTTGGTTTTGGTGGGTTGGTGCGGGAGGACTGGGAGGTTGCTAAATGCAATAAGTTCAAAGATTGCTAAGGTTGCTAAGGTTTGGGTTTGCCAGGTATGGCGGGATTATGGGCGTGGGCCGGTTGCAAAGAAGGTCATGATGTGGCGCACACATAGGTCGGGGCATTTTGAGGTCGGACCGGGTGGCCAAGGGTTGGGGCCGAGTTAGATATCCACGGACGTTGGGAGCCGGTCTTCAGACCGTGTACATCAGACCCCTGTGACCAAAGTGCCTGTGCTTGCATCAGACCGGGGTTTGGGAGCCTGCATTGAGAACAGGTACTAGCAATGGCCTCCAACCTAAGAGCCATGGCCTCCAACCTTATAGCGATGGCCTCCAACCTGCTGGCG